GGCAAATCCTCAGGCCATTTTCCAGTACCTGGGCTGCATTGGCCCTGAGCGCTCCTTCCTTAGTGGCAACTGACCGTGCAGGGCCACAGGGCTCAGACAGAGACATGCAGCTAGAAGACAGTGTCAAAAACTAGACACTCAGCACCATCTTCTACTTCAAAATATTTAAAATGAGGGCTAGATGTGTGGCTCAGCAGAAAGAGCACCAGCCTAGCAAGTGTGAGGACCCGAGTTCAAATCCCAGCATTGGCAAAAAAAAAAAAAAAAAGTCTTAACTAAAATCCATTTTAAATCCATGCTGGGGAATTCAGGCGCTCCAGTGTATTCTTTCTGAAAACTAATTCTGCATGAAATCACTTCCCATTTCTGCTCTATTGAAGGTAGGGGCACAGGTAAAATGAAGCTGGTTTTGGATAACCTGACTTGAAGTACTTTTGGTTCTGTTTTATTTTATTTATTTATTTTTTGCCAGTCCTGGGGCTTGAACTCAGGGCCTGGGCACTGTCTCTGAGCCTCTCTGTGCTCAAGGCTAGCACTCTACCACTTGAGCCACAGTGCCACTTCTGGCCTTTTCTGTTTATGTGGTACTGAGGAATTGAACCCAGGGCTTCACTCTACCACTAAGCCACATTCCCAGTCCTGGTTCTGTTTTAAACTTCTGTCAGAGTATTGAACAGTTAGTCTGTGCAAGGTGTATACTGGCTACTTCACTCAGTTACAAGAATGAAAGTCAGTGGGTACAAAACTGTGTCTTCCATGGACCTCTGTAGGTTCTCTATAAAAGGAGGAATCTTTGAAATCCAGGCATGGGGTGCAGATGTGTGAAGAGGAGCCCTGGGTGATGTTCATCATTGGGAACATGGCTTTAACAAAATCCCAGTCACACAGTCACATGGTTCAAGAAATTGTCCTTTTTTTTTTTAAGTTATAAAGCACTAAGTTAAATCCAAAGGAACAATGCAATTAGAGAAGCAACAGCAAGAGCATGTAGTCCTCAACTGAGACATACTGTTTCTCTGAACTCTTGTATTTATAGCAAAACCTGCTTTTATATTCATATAGGCTATCCTTTGTTTCCTAGTAATTTTGAATTAAAGACTATATGTTTGCTATTTTTTTCATGCTTTCATGAAGATTTTCTGAAGCATCACTGAGTTTTTACATATATCTAAAATGACCAAACAAATACATTCTCAAGTAAATACACAGGAAATTTTCAGAGCTATTATTATTATTATTTGGAGACCAGTTCTCACTATGAAGCCCAGTCTAGCCTCGAATAAATTCTCAGTCTTCTACCTCCACTTTCCCTGAGTTGCTGGGATTGCAGGCGTGAACCACCAGAACAAGAGCTACCGTTCTCAGTGTACTCTGGTCAAATTCTACTTGGCAATAAACTCTTGTGAACTTGTCATGTAAGTAAAGGGGCTAACAAGACCTAGATATCACAATACCAAATAATCACCAAATAGCTTCAGAAAATGTAAACCTTTCACCCTGAAATTATAGAAGTATATTGTCATTAATGATGGAAAGTATGATGAGGAGCGTGTGTTGCTGCAGATCTAACCCAGGGTCTCGTGCATGTTAGGTAAGCAGTGTACCACTGAGCCCATGGAAGGGTTTGGATGTGGTTAATGAAATCCTTTTTAATCCCAGAAGGTAAGAAACACTAGCATCACCGCTAGCTCGTTTAATGACTTTAAAGTAGCAATAGTCTAGAAAGCACTACAGAAAATGGAGCCAGTTGAGAGCTACAGAAAAGAAATAATATCTGCTTCTATGTTGTAAACCACAGTAAATTTGTATATGGAGTTAAGCATATAAAACTAAAATTTAGCTCTATGTAGGCAGTATCTGAATTCATAACATTTTTGGCACTCACACAAAGATATGGGCTCAAGTAAGCCAAAAGTGAGGACTACTTTTTGTCATGTCTTTAGGAACTATTCACCAATTCAAAGATGCTATAAGTCTGTCCTAAAAGATCCACTGTGAGAACCTAGAATCTCAAAACCAGTTAGATCAAAGTATAACTAGCAGCATTTCAGATGTGAAGTAAGAATCCCTTTAAAAATACAAAAGAGGGGGGCTGGGAAGATGGCTCAGTGGTAGAGTGCTTGCCTTGCAATGCATGAGGCCCTGGGTTCGATTCCTCAGCACCACATAAGCAAAAAGAAAAAAGCTGGAAGTGGCGCTGTGGCTCAAGTGGTAGAGCGCTAGCCTTGAGCTGAAGAGCTGAGGGACAGTGCCCAGGCCCAAAGTTCAGGCCCCACAACTGGACCCAAAAAAAAAAAAAAAAAAGCAAAAAAGAGACAGGTGCTAGTGGTTCATACCTGTAATCCCAGCTACTCAGGGGCTGAGAACTGAGGAGCATGATTTGAAGCCAGTCCAGGCAGGAAAGTCTGTTAACTGTTATTTCCAACTAAACTACAAGAAATCCAGAAATAGAGTAGTGGCTCAAATGGTAGAGCACTAGCCTTGAACACAAAAGCTCAGGGACAGCACCCACACCCAGAGTTCAAGCTCCAGGACTAGGGGGAAAAAAAAGGACTGAGGTCTTCTCTTTCTAGACTGGAATTTCACTTACAAACCTCTTCTTGAGCCAGGCACCAGTGGCTCATGCCTGTAATCCTAGCTACTCAGGAGGGTGAGATCTGAGGAACACGGTTTAAAGCCAGCCCGGGCAGGAAAGTCCATGAGATCCTTATCTCCAATTAACCACCAGAAAACAAGAAGTGGCACTGTGGCTCAAGTGGCAGTGTTAGCCTTGAGCTGAAGAGCTGAGGGACAGTGCTCAGACCGAGTTCAAGCCCCATGACCGACCAAAAAAAAAAAAAACAACACAACAACAAATCCTTTTTACAGTGCTTGCCTTGTGTGGATTCCAGCCAATAACCTTGTATATAACTGTTAACTAACTACCCTCCAGTGCAAGGCACAAGCTTCACCTGTGTCCCCAGTTACCTGGGAAATGCTCAGAGGGCCCACTCTCATAGAGGACTTGCTGAGTCGTCTTCTCCATGAGCTGTGGCCCCGGGCGGCCTGCCCTTTGGAGGTTTCTCATGGCTGGATTTTAGGTGCTCTGGCTTGGAACTTTCCCTTCCTGTGAGCTGAGAGGAAACTTGCTAAGTTCAGCTGCATTTCCAGAGCCTCAGCCCCTAAGAACCTCAACATTCTTGAGGGAAAATATCCACCTTTAACTGTGGTCCATAGAGCAACTTTGTTTCTTTGATCCCACTGTCAGAGCTAGGAAGAAGATTCTGGAGCAAGCTGTTTTATGCCAGCGAGTATTTTTTCCTCTAGAGAACTCAGAAAGCTTTTTCCTTGCTAGCACTTGATGACACAAATAATTAAGATTATCACCAGAGCTCCTCTAGGAAATATGGAAGAAAGGCATGTCCCTGAAGGCACTGAAGACAGATCCCCACAAACAAGAGGCAGTTATTTCCTAGTTCTGGTAACTCAAAACTTCAGAAGTTTAGCTGGCTAGCTGACAGACAAACCCATAGGCTGACACGTCATTTTCTGCTTTTCCTTCAGTTCTCTGATGTTTGTTGGCAGGAAAGAAGCTGAAATTACTAAACTACTAAAATCCACTACTGAGAAATGACCTGGTCAGCTTGGGTAAGTATGAATTCTATTTAGTCACATTTCTCAAACTGTTGCTGCTTCCTAGGTTATATTACTGATAATGGAAGGCCCATACTGTCTCCAACTTATCACAGGCTGGAGAAAGCACTAACTTTGATATTGCTGGAATAATCTTGTCTCAGTGGAATTGGCTGAGAATACTAGAAAGACTTGGTTTATAAAGAGAAATCCCAAATACAGTTTTTGGCACTTACCTTTTGTTTCATTTTATCTATGATGGGAAATTCAGAATAATGAAAAATAAGAACATAACTTCTTGGGGTAGAGGCATGGCTCAAATGGTAGAGAACCTGCCTAGCAAGTGTGCAGATCCTGAGTTCAAACCCCAGTACCACTGGGTGCAGGTGGCTGACGCCTATAATCTTAGCTATCAGGAAGCTGAGTCCTGTGGATCCTGATTTGAAGCCAGCTGAGGGAGAAAAGTCTGTGAGAGTCCATCTTAAACTAATGCTGGAAAATGCTGGACTGAAGGTGTGGCTCAAGTGGTAGAACTCCAGCCTAATGAGAACACATGAGTCCTGAGTTCAAGCCTTGATACTGGCACCAAAAAACAAAACAAAACAAAACAAACCCACCTCAGTACCATAAAATAAATAAAAAAGTCAATCCTTTAGGAAATTGTAATGCTTTCCAAAAAACTACAATTTTCTTAGGCTATCTGCCCAGCAGTGAGGCTTGGAGACACCATCACAATATTATCATCCAAAACCAAAATTCTTCCTATTATAAAGAGCTGACAATAATTAAGGAAAAAAAAAAAGAAAATGAGAAATAAGCTTTCATTTTCTTCCTACAAAGAAGTAAAACAAAAAATGAAAAAGAACTAAGACAGGAGCAAATTCCTCCAAGAACAAACTGCTCCCCTCTCCTTAGACCTGCAATCTTCACAACATGACCACACACAATGCTGCCTGTGTTGGCCTGGTGTGTACCGCCATACCAGGATGATGTGTGAAGCCTGAAACGTGCCTGTGAACATTGGGAGATTGGTGCCTGTCACTACCTCTGGTGAAGCACAGATTGCCAAACTGGACACCAAGAACACTAGAACTGGGATGGGACTTCAGGGCCTTCCAAAGATACTCAGCCTGTGTACTACAGATGTGCTTTTCTATAGAAAAGAGCACTGACAATGGCAGCATCCTGATAAAAATACACGATTCAGGGAGAAATGTGGTATCTGGTACAACCAATTACCAAAGCCCTCGGGTCTGAAACATTATTCTAAATTCAAAGGGATCTATTTTCCCAACATCCCTCTCACAAGTATACTATTAAGTACTTGAGTTTTCATAGTATACTACCTAGATAAGACACACTCAAATGAAACATTTGCCCAACAAGGATGCTAAACATTAGAGTTTGTTTTATTGCATGACGTTTGCATAAGAAAAAGTATTCTTGAGGACTGTAAGGCATCATGCAATCACTGATAAGCCAATTATTAACTGCATACTTAATGGGTGGACAGAGAATCTAGTATTTAAAAACTATTTCCAAAAGAGTACATAAAAAAAATTTAACATGATGAGCTTTACATATGGTTTATGTTTGTAGGTTCACATCTTTAAAAAGTGCTTCAAATGTACTGTTGGAAAGCTGCTCTTTACAAATGGTGCTGGGGAGAAGGTCAGACTAGAAACTGTAAAAACTATGAAGGAATTTGAAAGCTAATAATGTGGTATTCAAACTTACGTGAATCAGTTTTCAATTCTCACTCAAATTAAGTTGATATATTAATATATCTTTAAAAAAATCTATTTGAAACCAACAAAAGTCTATTGAATTCAAGTTACAAGTGTTGGGCGATCGAATCTCTGAGAAGACCTTGACCCGGAGACCCCGCCTGGAACCCGTACCGTCACCCCCGGGGCTAATCGATGTACTGCGCCATCCAGCGGAAGCCTTCGCCGTACCCTTGCCTCTTCAGCACGCTGCACATGAAAACTTCCAGAGGTCGGGCGTTCAGCTCTTTCAGCGACACACTGCCCTGCAAGGGAAGAGCCACGTGACGGTGAAGTTTGGTGGAATAAAAGCTGCTCTCACCAGCAGGCTCTGGGTTCTGCTTTAGAAGCTATGGCTGAATGCTTATAATCTTAGCTACTCAAGAGACTGGGACCTGGAAGATCAACCGGGAAGCCAACCTGGGTGGAAAAGTCTGTGATTCTATCTCCAACTAACCAGCAAAATGCTGAATTAGAAACATGGCTCAAGTGATAGAGCATGACCCTTGAGCAAGCAAAGCGGAATGAAAGCAAAAAAAAAAAAAACCCTGAGTTCAAGCCCTCATACCAGTACAAAACCAAAACAAACTCAAGAAGATAAAATCCAAATTGACTTCACTGATATTAAAGACAAACACTGAGTTAGGTTTAAGATGGAAAAAAGCATTTTAAAAAAGTGGAGCTGACATTAAATAGACAAGGACATGGAGGCACACAGCCATAAACCCAACCAGCCAGGATTAGGAGGACTGCAATCCAATGCTGGACCCAAGCCAAAAACAAAACAATAAAAACCAAAACTCTGAGCCAGGTGCCAGTGGCTCACGCCTAGCTACTCAGGAAGCTGAGATCTGAGGATCACCATCCAGGACAGGAAAGTCCATGGGACTGTTATCTCCAACTAACCACCAGAAAACTGGAAATGGTAAATGGTGCTATGGCTCAAGTAGAACACTAGCCTTGAGCACAAAGAGGCTCAGGGACAGTGCCCAGGCCTTGAGTTCAAACCTAGGACCAGTTAAAAAGAAAAAAAGATGGGAATGTGGCTTAGTGGTAGAGTGCTTGCCTAGCATGCATAAAGCTCTAGGTTCAATCCTCAGTAACACATAAGCAGAAAAAGCCGGAAGTGGAGCTGTGACTCAAATGGCTGAGTGCTAGCTTTGAGCAAAAGCAGCTCAGGGACAGTGCCCAGGCCCCGAGTTCAAGCCCTAGGACTGGCAAAAAGAAGACTATCTGAAAAATAACAACAGCAAAGGGGCTAGGGATAGAGCAACTGGTAGAGCACTTGCCTAGCAAGAACAAGGCCTTGAGTTCCAACTCTAATGCTGCCAAAAAAATCCTTGGAGGGCCAATCTTGTTATGACATTTGAGTAAGAAAAATTAGCATGCACAAGGTCTTGCGTTGAATCCCTAACCCCCTCCCACACAAGGCAGAGATTAATATCTTCCAGATCAATGTTACCTAACATAATAATACTCACATGCTTTAGTAGTGCTCTACCCTGAAAGTATGTATGTAAACCAAGGAAATTCTATAAAGTTCTTCCATGATTAGTAATTATTTCTGGCAGTACTAGGATTTGAACTCAGGGCCTTATGTTGCTGTGCAGGTGCTCTACCAATTGAGCTACAATGCCAGCCATTTTTGCTTTATTTTTCAAATAGGATCTTGTACTTACTTCCCAGGCTGGCCTGAACTGTAATCCTTTTAGGGTTCCAACATAGTGGGATAACAGGCTTAAGCCATCACCATCAGCTATTCTTCCATTTAAACCTATCTGAGATTTTTCTAGACTTATCTTTCCCTGACTTCTTAATGGATCCATCATAAATGAATACAAAAATAATGCGAGCTAGTGAAGTCTGAGGCAAAGAGTTCTAAGTTCCATGTCAACCTGGGCTATAAAGAACACCTCAAATAGTACCTTAAAGATTATTCTAAGGTATACTTTCAGAAACCCTAAAACACTCCTATGTCCAAGTTTATGTCTTACTTACCTCTGGTGAAACTCAGAATATTGAACATACTATTGGTATGCCTAAATATTTAAATATATTATTTGATGGATATTTGTTTTGTTTTTAGATGGTATTGGGAATTGAACCCAGGGCTGCTTCTACTGAACAATATCCCTAGCCCTAGTGGCTAATTCTGAAAAGATATGATAATTAAAAGTTTCCCATAAGCACAAACCTTAGGAAGAACTGAGTCCAACACTTTTTGGGTCTCATTCTTCATTACTAGATAGAAATGAAGACATTAAAAAAGAACTGAATAGGAACTGAATTGGAATGTGGCTTAGTGGTAGAGTACTTGCCTAGCATGCATGAAGCCCTGGGTTTGATTCCTCTGTGCCACATACACAGAAAAAGCCAAATGTGATGCTGTGGCTCAAGTGGTAGAGCACTAGCCTTGAGCAAAAGCTCAGGGACAGTACCCAGTTCTACCCCAGGACTGGCAAAAAAAAAAAAGATCTGTAGAGTATTTTTACAATAAAAATGTACAAAAAAAGTGTTAAAAAATTGTTTTCTTAAGAAATGAATTTGTTGGGGGGGGAAGGTAGCTCAGTGGTAGAGTGCTTGTCTAACATGCATGAGGCCCTGGGTTCAATTCCTCAGCACCACATAAACAGAAAAAGCCAAAAGTGGCGCTGTGGGGGCTGGGAAGGTGGCTCAGTGGTAGAGCGCATGCCTTGCATGCCAGAGACCCTGGGTTCCATTCCTCAGCACCACATAAGCTAAAAGAAAAAAGCCCGAAGTGACGCTGTGGCTCAAGTGGTAGAGCACTAGCCTTGAGCTGAAGAGCTGAGGGACAGCGCCCAGAGTTCAGGCCCCATAACTGACACACTGAGACAGACAGACACACACAGAATTTGTTGGCAAACTATCTTAAGGACATGTTTATCCTACAGGAATAAATATCTACAACTGTCTTTTTTACCTTTCCTGTTGTCTGACCATAGAGACCGAACATCTCTCGTAACCTCTCTTCACTGATGGCTTCAGGTCTGTCAATCTTGTTCCCAAGAATGAGTATAGGCACATTAGCAATTGTTTCATCTGTCATTAGTGACTGAAAAACAACAAAGAAACAAGTTGGTTTGAGACCACACAAAAGCTTACTCTGACAAAACAGGACTTATTCTACCATGTTGTAATATGCCCACTTGCTCACTAACTTCTCCACATCTTGGTTTTTGTTTTCTTTTCTTTTTGCTGGTTCTGGGGCTTGAACTCTGGGCCTGGGCTCTGTCCCTGAGATTATATGCTCAAGGCTGGTACTCTGAGCCATAGCTCCACTTCTGGCTTTTTGTGATAAGATAAGAGTCTCACAGATTTTCCTGCCTGAGCTGGCTTCAAACTGCTCAGATCTCAGCCTCCTGAGTAGTGAGGATTACAGGTGTGAGCCACTGGCACCTAGCTCCCACATTTTAAAGTGAGTAAAATGAAGCCATAAACTCAATTCTTTGGTCTCCCTAAGGCTCTTTCAGAAAAAGTTCACATTGCCTGTATGTATATGGGTAAGTAGAGTGGCTGCCTTGGAGGTGGACAGACCTGATTTCACTTCTGGTTCTGCTGCTTCTGAGTTGTGATCTTGGGCAAGTTAATTCCACAAAAACTTAGAGAGAGCAGGGAAAGAGCAGAACCAACCTTATTGGAGCTGAGAGTTAAATCACAAAATACTATGAATAATGCCTGGCACAAAGGAAAAAATCAGGAACTTTTCTACTTTGGACATTTCCATACGAACAAGTATTCATTCACCTGCAACCTTCAGTCCAATTCCATATTTGCTACTCTCTGGACTTAGATCTAGTTCTGCCTTGTTAACTGCTCTTGACCTGAGAGAGGGAGAAGAGGGAGCTAAACGTGCACCTGCCTTCTTCTAGAAGTAGAGACAATGATGGCATATTATTCAAATGCTGGCTACTGACTAACTGGTAAAGAAATGGCATCCTAGGAAGCAGGGACTCATGATCAACCTGGAAGAGTACAATCTAGTGTCCTGAGGTTTTCAGAAAGTACATGTGTTAGTACTTCCTCATAGCTACTATTACTCCACATTATTCCCCTCCACTTTTGTGGTAATCATTGAGTTAATCCACTGCTATTCACAAGCTCAATAAATTGCCAAGAGTGTCACCACAGATTGCAGAAAAGTTGTACTTTGATACCTTCAACTCCAACCTATTCAGGCTGATAGGAGTGACTTCACCACAAGTAGTTTTAATTATTCAACTTACATCAAGTTCTTCTTTTGATTCCAACAGTCTTTCATGATCTGCACAATCCACCAGGAATACAATGCCATTGATAGCCGGAAGGTAGTTTTTCCATACTCTTCGGGCTAACAACAAAACAATCAAGAGTTAGAATTTACTTGCTGATGAGACCTAGCAGATGGTGTGATCACAGAACACAGAGCAGGCGCCTCCTGGCTGCCGCTTACTATATGCTCAAGTTGACGTTTCAGCTGGTGGTGCTTCCCACCAAAACTGAAATTTCAGACTTTGCTTGACTGTGGGCAAAATACTTCACTCTCTAATTTGCCTACCAGAAGTAGAGTTAATATCTTCTACCATTAGACAATGATGCTCAGTAAGTTCTTTAGATTGCCACTATAGAAATCTCATCTTTCTGTAGGAAATTATATAATATAAGCAGGACAAAGCATACATAATGGGCAGTATTGGTTTCTGACATTCTAGTCTATCAATTTTTTCCAGTAACAAATTTGTACTGCCAAAAAAAATTCTATCACAACAGTCTTGGAAAAAAAATACCTAAAAAAAAGTAATCAAGGAGGGGTAAGAGCTCTACATTGAAACCTATAGAATTTTGAAGAAAAAAAAATTAGAAGATAGAAAGAACTTCCATGGTCATAGATTTGTAGTATAAAAATCAATTTACATATTCAATGCCCATCAAAATCTTAATGTCATTCTTTGCAGAAATAAATTCACATGGAAGTATAAAAGCCCCTATATGACAAAAGTAATCTTGAGCAAACGGTGCATCTAGGAGGGTATCACCATATTGGCCTTTAAATTATACTACAGAGCCATAGTAACAAAACATGATATTGGTACACACACACACCACAAACCAATGGAACAGAAGACCCCAAAATAAAGTTACACTGCCACTGCCATCTAATTTTTGGCAAAGGAGCTAAAAGCAAATACTGGAGAAAGAAGTCTGTTCAGCAAATGGTGCTGAGGAAACCAGTTATCTACCTGTAGGAGACTGAAATTAGGCTCCTATCTCTGACTGTGAACAAAACTCAACTGCAAGGTGGATGCTAGTAGCCTATAATCCCACTCAGGAGGTAAAGATCTGAGGATCCAGGTTTAAAGCCAGACCAAGCAGAAAAATCCATAAGACTCATCAATTAGCCAGAAAATAAAGCCAGAAGTAGAGGTGTGGCTCAAGTGGTAGAGAACCAGCCTTGAGCAAAAAAAGCAAGAGAGCATGAGACCCTGAGTTCAAGCACCAGTACCAACATACTCTTCACCTCCAAATGGATCAAAGAACTCAAAGACTTAAAATTTAAATCTAATATGGGAAAACCCTGGAAAAGTTACAGGCACAAGGAATCCTTTTCTGAATAGGACTCCAATTGTTCAGAAAATAAAGCAAGAATGGACAAATGAAACTCAATCAATAAAAGTTCCTGTACAGTGGAAGAAATAACTCTCAGAACCAAGAGAAAACTCACAGAATGGGACAAAATCTTTGCCAGCTATTCAATGGGTAAAGGATTAATATCTAGAAGTAAATAGGAAAAGAATAACATGACTAATTAATGGAGAATGAATGAGACAGTTCTCAGAAGAAGAAATACAAATGGCTACCACATTCATGAAAAAATGTTCAAAATCCTTAGCTATAAAGGAAAAGAAAACCAATCAGAATGGAAATCATCAAGAAAACAAACAACAAACACCACTGGAATATGGGGGAAAATGAGCCCTTGTACAGTGTTGGTAGGAATGTAAATTAGTGCAACAACTATGGAAATCAGAATGGTGGTTCCTCTGAAAAATAAAAATTTAGAACTAGGTAGATTCAAGTAGAAGTGAGTAAAAGCCCATCTACTTTATCACGATAAGCAATTCAGCAATTGTTTATCATGATAGTCATTCTAGAATTTTTTTTTCTTTTTGGAAGTATTGGGGGGTTTAAACTTAAGGCCTTATGCTTATAAAGCAAAAGCTCTACCATTCAAACCATACCCCTAATCCTACCCTTTGCTTTTAAAGCATTTATCTGGGATAGTAATCACTAAACTTTCCTGTACTGAAACACAATGGCTATACCTGTAGTAAGTTAAAATAAAAAGAGAGAATACAGAGGAATAGATTCTTACCTTGAACATGGCCACCCAGATCAAACGTTGTAAAAGTCATACCAGCAATAGTTAGTTCTTCTGAAGCTAAACAAAAATACAAAAATGCTTATATAACATGAAAATTAGAAATTTTCAGCACTTTTGAGGTGAGGGCAGCCCCAACTACAAAGCAGCACTCTGCCTCAAAAAACACACAAAAGCCAAAGCAGAAATCAATTTAATGTTGGATTACTTTAATTGCAAGCAAGGTCAAACCAAACATTTATAAACTAATAAAGGAATATTTTGTTGACATGTCCCCTCCCCCTAGGTATGGTGGCACAGGCTGTAAGCCAGGACTCAGGAAGCGGAGGCAAGAGTTCAAAGTTAGACTAGATAAGGAGCACTGTCCAAAATAAAAGTCGAGGATGCCAGGCACTGGTGGCTTACACCTGTAATCCCAGCTATTCAGGAGGCTGAGATCTGAGGATCGCAGTTCAAAGCCAGTCTGGGCAAAAAAGTCCCTCAGACTCTTATCTCCAACTAACCACCAGAAAACCAGAAGTAGAACCGTGGCTCAAAGTGGTAGAGCACTAGCAAAAAGCTCAATGGGACAGCACCCAGGCCCTGAGTTCAAGCCTCAGGACTAGCAAAAAAAAAAAAAAAAAGTAAACAAATGACTTATACCTTATACCTAACACAAGATTACTCTGTAGGGCTGGGAATGTGGCTTAGTGGTAGAGTGTTTGCCTAGCATGCATAAAGCCCTGGGTTCGATTCTTCAGTATCACATAAACAGAAAAGGCCAGAAATGGTGCTGTGTGGCTCAAGTGGTAGAGTGCTAGCCTTGCACAAAAGAAGTTCCGGGACAGTGCCCAGGTCCTGAGTTTACGCCTCAGGACTGGCAAAAAAAAAGGGGGGCTTGGGAAGGTGGCTCAGTGGTAGAGCGCTTGCCTTGCATGCCTGAGGCCCTGGGTTCGATTCCTCAGCACCACATAAGAAAAAAAAATTAAAAAAAAAATAATAATAAAAAAGATTACTCTGTAGTCTCTTCCAATTCTGCTATTTTTGTAGACAATTTTATATACTCAATTTTACTATGATCATTTTTCTTTAATAGTATTGTTTGTTTATGCCACTCCTGGGATTGAACTCAAGTTTTTCTGGCTTTTTATTTCCCCAATCACAGCTGGTATTCTACCACTTGAGCCACACTTCTAGTCTGGCATTTCGCTGGTTAACTGGAGATAGTCTCAGACTTTTCTGTCTGGGCTGTCTTCCAACCTTGATCTCCCCCAGGTCCCAGGCTGTTAAGCAGCTAGGATTACAGGCCTGCACCACTGGTATCTGGCAATCGTATTGTTCTTGCTGGGTATGGTGGTTTATATCTATAATCCCAGCTCCTTGGGAGACAGAGACAAAAAAAAAAAAAAAAAGGCATGAGACCCTATCTAAAAGGGAAAAAAAGGGGGCTTAGGGGTGTGGGGCAAATGTAGAGGCCCTTAATTCAAACCCCAGTACTATTTTGCCCCATTGTTCATGCTTGTACTTCTAGCTATTCAGGCAGCTGATTATCTGGAGGACTATGGTTTATTGGCAACCTGGACAAAAGAGTTTTGCTAGACTCCATCTCCAAAATCACCAGTGAAAAGTAGGGCTCAAGTGCAGAATACTAGCAACAAGTGAAAAATCCAAGCAAGTAGAGGTCACTATTTTAGTATGTTAGTACTATTCTAGGGACAGGTCAAACAACCTCATAATTTACCTACCTCATAATTTATCCATCTTCATTTTCCTCACTCCTCCCCAAAAACATAAAAGTGTTTGGTTGGTGTCTGACTCAGCGTCATTTTACGGAAACATGTGTCCTAGATTAATATACTTACTGGGATGCAATGTTGGCACATGCTGGCCAAGTCTGTCATCTTTTAGCATGTGCAGCAGTGTTGTTTTTCCTGCATTGTCCAGTCCAAGAAATACCAGTTTACCAGTTTTCTTATATAACCCTGCAGAGTAAGAACTATGATTGGTTAAAGTGTTATAAAACAGATTATCCAATAAGTCTAGGTTCCTAACATTTTCAATTAAAAAAAAAAATCTAAGTTATTTTCAGTTTGTGTGTGTGTATGTTGTATGCTGGTATTAAGACTTAAAGTTTCCTACTCTCACTGAGCTTTCTTCTCCCTCCCCCCCTCTCTCTTTCTCTTTCTTTCTTTTTGCCAGTCCTGGGGCTTAAACTCAGGGCCTAGGCACTGTCCCTGACCTTTTTTTGCTCAAGGCCAGCACTCTACCACTTGAGTCACAGTGCCACGTCTAGCTTTTTCTCCTTATGTGGTACTGAAGAATCAAACCCAGGGCTTCATGCATGCTAGGTAAACACTCTACTACCACTAAGCCACATTCCCAGCCCCACTGAGCTTTCTTGCTCATGGCTAAAGCTATAAACCACATGAGCCATGCCTGTAGGCCTTATTTTCAGTTCTAAAAGAGGTTTTTGTTTGTTAAGAAAGCTGAGCAAGGGCTGGGAAGGTGGCTCAGTGGTACAGCACTTGCCTTGCATGCCTGAGGCCCTGGGTTCCATTCCTCAGCACCACATAAGCAAAAAGAAAAAAGCTGGAAGTGGCACTGTGGCTTAAGTGGTAGAGCGCTAGCCTTGAGCTGAAGAGCTGAGGAACAGCGCCCAGGCCCAGAGTTCAAGCCCCTTGACCGGACCCCCCCCAAAAAAAGAAAGCTGAGCAAGTAAGAGTATAAAGGCCCAAGTTCAAGCTCTGGTACTGGCAAAAATCAACCAAATAAAAACATTGGATTCCTAAGAAATAAAGCATTTATATACATAAATTGATTAATAAACAGTATATTTTTTTAGGAATATGATTAACAACAATCTGAAGAAACACTAATTACTGTTGCCATTTTACTGATAAGGAAACTGGGGGTAAGGTGAAAAAAATTAAGTTGGCCAAGATTATGTAACTTAAAAGAATGAGTAATTGAATATGACTACATGATTTAAAAACACTTTTCCTTAAGAACTGGTTCACAGATGAAGTGGTTCAACACAAAGAAGCATACTTGTAAATATAGTATTAAATAGGGTAATTAGTCATACAGAGAGCCAACATTACCTAAAAACTGTAGCACACTGCTGAAACCACTGTAAATCCAATCAAATATGAAGGACATATCCAAGTCTTATAGGGTCTGAAAAAGAAGAGTTTGAGGTTTAGTACAACAGGAAACACTAATATACATTAAACACTAATGGTGTTAACAACAAACCTGATCTATACTGATGTATTAAAAAAACCAAAATGCCATTAAGCCATCAAGTAGAGACTATTTTCTGCCCATCAAGGGAGCAAAGTAAAAAAGAATTACAACAGCCAAGGCTAGAAAAAAAATGTTGTAAAAGAAGGATAGCTAGTAGCAGGTTAAACTGGTACAAATCTTTTTCAAAAATCAAAGTGGCAGCCAGCCATAGTAACACTAGTACTTGGGAGTCTGAGGTAAGATCTCAAGGTCACGGCCAGCCTGGGCTACATTGTGAGATGAGCGGAACAGGGAAGGGGAAGGGGAAGGGGAAGCGGGGGGGGGGGGGGGCTGCTCAAACTTGTTGCCCAGTTATCCTAAAACTGCAATTTCCCTGATCTCACCCACTAGCTAGGATTATAGGCAGGAACCACTGCACCTAGCTTAGTTTTATTTTTACTATTTTTATATGTGTACCTGTTCTGGGGCTTGATCAGGGCCCAGGTATTGTCCCTGAGCTTTTTTGCTTAAGTCATTAGTGCTCTACCACTTGAGCCACAACTCTACTTCTAGCTCTCTTTTTTTGGTGATTTTTTGGAGATAAGAGTTTCCACAGTCCTTCCTGCATGGGCTAGCTTTAAACCTCAAATTTCAGATCTCTGCCTCCTGAGTAGTTAGGATTACAAGAGTGAGGCACAGATGTACACCTTATCTTTACTTCTTAAAGACAGTTGCACTCTGAATTGCCTAGACGGGCCTTGAACTTTCAATCTTCTACCTCAGTCTCCTGAGTAGCTTGGATTACAAGTATGTGACAAGACCCTGAATAGTTGGGATTATAGGTATGTTGTACCACATTTGGCTAGAATTTTGTTTTTACAGTAAATCAGTTCCTAAGATCAAGTGATCAGCAAATTTCTGAATAATTCCATTGTCAGCATCAAAAGAATGAGATATACAACATATGATATATGTATAGACATATATCCGCACATACAAATATGTATATGTATATATCACATATATGTATATGAATATAATACCTTAGGTGTTCCTATTTCACTCAGATTAAAAGTTGTATCTCCTTAACTTGGCATGGTGGCACAGTTCTGTAATCCCAGCAACTGAGAAGCTAAGACAGGGGAATGGTGAGACCAAGGCCAATCTGGGTTACACAGTGCACTCAAGGACAGCCTGTGATACATAGCAAGACCTTGTTTCAGAAACAGAAAGAAAATCCCTGGGTGCTGGTGGCTCACACTTGTAATCCTAACTACTCAGAAGGCTGAGATCTGAGGATCGAGGTTTTAAGCCAGCCTGAGCAGGAATGTCCATGAAACTCTTTATCTCCAATTAACTACAAAAAGCCAGAAGTGGAGCTGTGGCTCAAGTGGTAGAGTGCCAACCTTAAGCACAAAAGCTCAGGGACAGTGCCCAAGCCCCAAATTCAAATTCCAGGCCCAGCGTGCACGTGCATAAAGCACACACACACACATACCCCTATACCTCTAGTTCTGCCATTATTATTAGGGTTCCATTGTATGTGCAAGACCCTGACTTTGATTTGTAGCACCAAAAACCAGAACAAAACAACAACAACAAAAAGAAATTAGGATTTATTAGAGAATATATGTAAGTTTATACTCAGCTCTTCAGCTCAAGGCTAGCGCTCTACCACTTGAGCCACAGCGCCACTTCTGGCTTTTTTCTTTTT